CATCCCCAACCGCCACCATTACATGGCACAACTCAATATGTCATTCATGCATTAAAACATGACATGACAAAATTTACATGGAAACGTATGAACTCTACACAAAACAACATTTAGACAAATACCAAGTATGATGTTATGGTTTTTTCTCAACCCCTGTGGATTTATCTCTCTCTCACTCTCATGCTGTAGCATGAAGTGTTCATGTGGCCTAAGGGTCGAGTGAAGTAGGGCACAAACAATAACTGACGATCACATCGAATCATGTGCTGCCATGGAGGAAACCAGCTGACTGCATGAGCCCAGAAGACAGGAAGAGAACGAGACAGACGCAAGGAGGAAAAGAGAATGAGAGAGATGGAGATAAGAAGAATTTATTCATGTGCTTCGTCACTTAACTTTCCACAAGCCCATCAAACCTCCCCATATCCTAATGGTACATTCCATGACTACACAATCCAGTGCACTGATTGGACGGTAAGAGACTGAATGATGATAAATGAGGAGGACGTGTTTGATTTATGATGGGGGACTCAGCAAATTGACATGTTGTGTCTCTCTAACGACTCAGTTGCTGATGAATGCAACAGGACCATTACACCACACCAACACCATTCTGCTACAAAACGCCACTTTTCACCATCCAATCAATTCTTGATAGATAAAACTGAGTCCTGCCCTGTATTTCACGTTGATATTCAGTTTCAATCAGAAATTATTTAATTTACGGCAGTAAAAATGTGTAGACAATGCTGTCATCATGAAATGAAAATTCACCTTATCTATTTTCTAAATGCCTGTTACAGATCTTATTGTAAACAATTTATCCATAGATACGTTTCATTTTTTAAAAATAAAATGATTTGACCTCATAATGTTTCATCAAAATCTCATAAATGGACCTTTCGGTGAAAACGACAGACTTCACTGTAAAGTACAGTGTGCTTAATCTCCGGCCTTATTTGCAACATCCATCCACATCTCAAAATCCAATTAACAACCAATGCATACCTTCTTAAAAAATAAAGGTTCTTTATTAGCATCTATGGTACAATGAAGAACCTTAAACCAATTCCATTGGACAAAAGGTTCTTTACAGTGGAAAAAGGTTATTAAAAAATATTGTGGTTGGACAAAATAATGTGAACACCTGGGAAATAGCCACTATTTCCTTATTAAGGTGTTTTACCACCATTTGCCTTTAATACAGCTTCCAACCTTCTTAGAATAGACTCATACAGCTTTTGAATTTCTCCAGTGGAATGATGTCTATAACATCTGCCAATTGCTTCAGATATGCTGGAGGAGAGAATCTTGGGCAGTTACTTAAAAGGGCCAATCAATAGTAATAATTGTGTTTTAGTATAACGCAGACTATAAATGACCTGAACTTTAGTGTTGTTGTTAAAGTCGCAAAGTTAAAGGTAACAGTTAAAGGTTTGCTGTGAGAGTTGTTGCTGTGAAGAAGGACGCAAGATATTACTGTGCATGATATCACCAGGGCATCTCAGTTTTGAACGTTAAGGTGTGTGTACGAGAGAGAGAAAGAGGTATCAGCTTTATATCAGACAGCCAATAGGTACAATCATGTGTCTAAAACCAGGCCACTTCCTCTCAGCATCACTCCACCTTCCGTCTACTTCCTCCCCACTTTCCTGTCTCTCCTCCCCTTCTTCTGCAGCCGAGTTCACCCTGCAGCGATAATTCAGCCTATTTCATCTCCCTGCTCATCGAAGCCTAGATTTAACGCACAGTCTAAACCGCGAGCCCAAACCTCAGATGTTGTCAAACGCTAAAGGAGGTCAAAGTGTTGTTTCAGAAATGTTCAACATGTCTGTTCACTGTGGCTCAGATTCAAACAACCTGTTTACATTACCATCTACAAAACAAAGCCGTGTAGAGGAGGTTTTTTTTTTCATTTTACACATTTCCAAACTGATGATTTAAAAGTTTCCGGTTTTAAGAGGCTGGTGAAATGTTTTCTTTCTTTCTTTTTATTTCTTTCTTTTTTACATTGCTGCAAAGGTAAATGACTACTAACATAATTTGTGCAGATTTTGTTACTTGTACCACATAGTGATTGGTTATTACAACTGGATTTTTGCTATTATTGTAATGCTATATATAACATAATATAATACATTATATGTATAAATAAATATTTAGTAATAATAATACGTTAATGCTATATATAATATAATATAATGCATTATATGTATAAATAAATATTTAGTAATAATAATAAGAATAACTTTTTTTAAATAATATTATTAAATATTATTAGTGGTAGTACTAGTACTGAAGTACAAGATAATATTATATAATAATTATAATAAATTATTATATAACAATATAATAATACTAATACTACTAATAATAATAAATATTTACTTTCTTTTATTTACTTTCTCTTAATTTGGATTCGGAAGTAAAGTTAATTTCCAAACAGTCTGCAAACTAGCCTGATTTCCAAAATAGTTTACTTTGTAATTAGTCAGTCCAATTTTTCCAATTTGATGCATTCAGGTCAATTTGCAAACTGTCTGTGAATAAGATAGGTGGCATTATCTAATTGAAAAGGCAATCGGCCAATCGCAATACAGAAAAGGTGTTGCCACCTCTCAAGCGATGTTTCAACTGAATTATCTTGTTTTCCCCTCATATTCATAGTCATGCTCCAGGAGCTCAATGAGAACACAATGAGCTCAAAGGAGGTATGAAAAGCTACTACTCCTATCAAAACCAGACTTAAAAATAAATTAATTAATTAAATAACCCTTTGTGAAAAGCTATGAATAAACTGGTATTTAACTTATCAACTAAGCAAAAGCCTGCATCCATCATGCAATTAGCGTAAACTGTGTAAAGTGGCCATTACAAACACCACCAAACAATCACTGTGAATAAAATCTATTTCAATGCCATTTAAAAAACATTAGCAGACACTGTTCACGGTTTCTCAACTACAACAGCTCATAATAACATGGCTTTCCTGCTGGTAAACATCTTCAAAATTATTCCGCCAAAGAGCCTCGTAAAGCATTCGCATGGAGTCGATGTGGCAAGGGATAATAAAGCGCTGCCATGCTAATTAATGGAGTCGTTCGCATGCGTGTAAGGTCTGGATTGAGAGAAGTAACATCTGATTTCAAATGTGATCAGTAAACAGTGTGTACGAGTACTGTCATGACACAAAGACAATCAATACATTGTTATCGACCCGGTCGGTCTACAACGCCATTCTTCTCATAAAATAATTATGTAGCGCTGGACAGTAAAACAGCAAGAAATCAGTCACATGCCAATGTCTGTAATTCCCATGATTATTATTTTATAAATGGTACATGTTCTTGTATCATCGTTTACTTACCGTCACATTGTTCCAAACCTTTCCAACACTTTCTTTCTTTTGTAGAACGCAAAAGATGTTCTGAACAGCTTCTTGCTATTTTCTATACATTGAAAGCATATAGTAAGCGAAAGCAAAAGATCGCGTTTGAATAAGATTTCACATAAAATTGCTGTAAGGCTTCAGAAAAATCACACTTTTATGGTGCTTTTTAAAGCTTAACAGCTCCTGGTCACTGAATGCCTTCATTGCATAGAAAAGAGCAGTGTGGACATTCTTTAAAACATCTCTTTCTCTAAAAAAGAAAAATAAAGTCACACAGGTTTGGTACAGAAATGACAACAGACTGTTCATTGTGGGGAGAACAATCCCTTTTACATTTATTATAAATTTGCCTAATAAACATGAAAACTTCAAACCTTTGGGGCCAGTAAGAATTTTTTGAAAGAAATTAATACTTTTATCTAGGAAGGATGCAAACTTGACAGTAATGACTGTCCTGAAATCTTGAAAGCAAATGTATCACAGTTTCCGCAAAACTATTAAGCAGCACAACTGTTTTCAACATTGATAATAATAAGAAATCTTTCCTGAGCAGCAAATCAGCATATCAGAATGATTTCTGAAGGATAATGTGACACTGAAGACTGGAGTAATGATGCTGGAAATTCAGCTTTGCCATCATTGGAATAAATTCCTTTTTTTTTTTTTTTTATGTATTCAACTAAAAAAAAACGTAAATCGTGTTAATATTTCACATTATTACTGGTTTTACTATATTTTTGATCAAATAAATGCAACCTTGAGTGACTTGCAAAAACATTTAAAAAACCGTACAGACCCAAGAGCTGCGTGGTATATTGAATATTAGAGATATTATCTCAACAATCAAATAATCAATATAAAATGACAGAATACTGTAAACATTGAATATTGTAGAAAATGAAGATTAATGTGCAAATCAACACTCAAATCAACAACACCCCTTTTTCATAGTGTTAAACATACACCCCGTCGCCCTCATTACAGTAAGCAGCGCTAAAACCGTGTCTCCACCAGGAACAAGACTATCACTGAGAGAAAGTGAGAACTACCACACAACAAAACCGTCTTTTATTCTCCGCCAGGACCACAGAGACTTCAGGAAGGAGAACGGTAAGGACTTGTGACTAGAATTACTGACACACTTTTCCTTTGAGCGTCGAGCTAATCTGGTTTTAGTCATGATTACGTAAGCCATCACTTTTTCCCGTGTCTCTGGGCAATAGTAGCGCAGCTGAAAACTGCGCTTGGTGATTTTTAGTCCTCTTTGTTCGGGAGGAGAGACTTGAACACAGATTTTAGCATCACCAGTTTCACCTGCTGCAATCACACATGGCCAGCTGTGACATGCTCATAGTTTCACAGTCTCTCGGCTGTGGAAAAATTTACCGAAATGCTCAGCAAAGCAACAAGCTAAATCTATTTTATGAGGCTGAAATTAACATTCAGCATTTCTTTCCACGACATCGCTGGTACTCCTATATCCTTATCGGAAAATGATGTCTCATTCAAGAGTTTTCTTAGTTGGAACAAGCTGATATGTGGACCAGACTTTTTGCCTAAAGTCAGAAGTATGGTTACATGAGTTCCAGTTTGGGTGTAGTTGTCGTACCTGTGGCAGTGCGGAGCTGAGCTGACGCTGCAGTGAGTCCCGGTCATAGATGACGTCCTGCAGGTGCTGCTGGGCGAGGGAAAGGCTTTCTTGTGTCTCTCTCAGGGTGTCCAACAGACGGTCTCTCTCGTCAAGCATGTTCACCATCAACTGCTCAAAATGCGAGTCAGGGTCGGAGGTGCTGCTCTGGGAGCCACGCTGGCTCATCGCCGTGTCCTCGCTGATCGTGGGCATCACTTCGCACATCATCTTCACCTGCTGAAAGAGGATGCATGCAATGGAAATATCTGTAAAACTGCTTTGAAACAGTGTGTATTGTGAAAAGTGCTCTATAAATAAATTTTACTAGTCTTTAACTTGACTTGGTTCTGCAAAGAGATCAGTGTAAATAATAATGAATTTAAAATAATAATACAAATATAACAAATTAAAACAACAACAACAATAATTTGCAATATTTAGATTATTGAATTTATTGTACTGTGGTACAGCCACAGTCATTTTTGATCTTTAAATTATATTTTAAAAACAATTATCAAATAATTTACATCAAATTATGTAAATAATAATAATTAATTAAGGTTTATGTTAATACAAAATATATATATACATTATCGTTCATAAGTGTAGTGTCAGTAAGAATTTTTTAAAGAAATTAATACTATTTATTAAGCGAGGATGCATTAAAATGATCAAAAGTGACAGTAAAGACATTTATAAACTTTGTAATATTTATAAAGGTTAAAAATATTTATATTTAATTTCTATTTCAATTCATCAAAGAATCTTGAAAAAGGTGTCACAGTTTCCACAAAAATATCAAGCATTGAAAATATTGATAATAATAGAAATTTTAAGAAATGTTTCTTGAGCACCAAATCATCATATTGGAAGGATTTCTGAAGGATCATGTGACACTAAAGACTTGAGTAATGGCTGCTGAAAATTCAGCTTTGCCACATTACATTTTAAAATATATTATAATTGATTTTTTTTCAATTGTGATATTATTTCACAGTATTACCGTTTAACTATATGTGACCAGTGTCAATTAAGTGTCAATTTTATGAAATTGAGATTTATACATCATGAATAAATAAGCTTTCCATTGATGTATGGTTTGTTAGGATAGGACAATATTTGGCCGAGATACAACTATTTTAATATCTGGAATCTGAGGGTGCAAACAAATCTAAATATTGAGAAAATCGCCTTTAAAATTGTCCAAATGAAGTTCTTAGCAATACATATTACTAATCAAAAATTAAGTTTTGATATATTTACAGTAGGAAATTTACAAAATATCTTCATGGAACATGATCTTTACTTAATATCCTAATGATTTTTGGCATAAAAGAAAAATCTATATTTTTGACCCATACAATGTATTTTTGGCTATTGCTACAAATATACCCCAGCGACATAAGACTGCTTTTGTGCTCCAGGGTCACATATTTTTTAAACAAATAAATGCAGCCTTAGGAAACGCAAGAAGCTTCTTTCATAATCAGCAAACAAATCTTACCAACCTCAAACTTTTGAACAGTATGATATTCTCAACACTTTACGCACATAAACATACTTCTTTTGTCTGTCAATTCCTTTGTGTCTATCTGTAAAAGCATTTAACTGCTCGGAGCCTCTGCGAGAAGACAGCATGTTGTAGACTGTATGTACATAGTGGTGATGTGTGTCTGCTCGTGTTAGACCCAAAGCTGTCAGAATTGTTGCGGCTGGTAGCGGTAGGGAAGACGAGCATTAAAAACACGCGGGCCACAGAGCACCACGCCTGGGCTGTGATGATACAACACAGGCGGAGCGGGTGGAGGAATCTCCTGGCAAGGACGAGATGTGTTTATGCGTGTTTACAACAGAGTGAGTGGAGAAAGAACAGATGAACAGAGAAAGACAAAGTCTTGGCAAGTAAATCTTGTATGTGTAAGTGTATCGGTACATTTTCGATTTACCCGAGACACGAACATATGCCAGCTCAATTCACTGACCAGGCGTCTGAGGTCGGGCTGGGCGATATGTCAAAAATATCTTATCGAGAATCGCCTTAAAACATTTCGCGATATCCGATAATATCGTCTACCCAAGCCCCACCTCCACCACGCCCTGCCGAGACAACTTTGCACCATAAACACACCAGGTTCAGTTTTGTCTTAATTATTGCCACAAAGTTTGATTTTACTTTTCTTAGTTTGTGCTTAAACTAACAGAAAACATTAGCTTTGCTGTTATATTGGTGTAGCTAATAATTTCCACTCTGTTCTTATCAAATTTGTGTTTGAAATGAATTTCGTTTTGTGAGGAGAACTGTTGAGGAAAAATAATAGAACCCAATTTTAAGTTCATCATGGTGAAGTTGGACATTCTGGCGGTGATTGTAAGAATGATAAATGCATGTTGATATCATATAGTTATGTCTTGAATAAAATATGCTTATTTTCCGATGTTCCTCTTTCTTTTTGGCATTATCGCGTGTGTAGACACAAGTTTAATTTCCTTGATTATAACAATTGTAGCATTGTTTTTAAACTTGTAGTCAAGCTATAACGGAGGCTATTTGATATTTATCATACATGACTAAAATCATGCAGGGATTGAAAAAGAATTCTGAGCAAAAACGTCAAGGCTTTTTTTCCCCTTTCTGGTTGTCCGGAGGTCTCTTTTGGCCCATTTAAAAATAACTGCTTTATTTATTTAGAAGCAGGGTAATTTAAATTTCATTTTTGTATTTAAATTTTTGTAATTTTTATTTAATAAATCAAAATACAACGGCCACAATATAATATTCAGTGTTGGGCTGCCAAAACTCGATAATACGATAATATCGTCATATCGCCCAGCCCTAGTTCCAATAGAGGCTGATTGCCCTTTTATAGTACTGAAGGTGAACTGAATGATGTGTGCGCGTTTTTGTCAGATAGTGTCAGATCACATGAAGCTGTTGATTGTTATCAGATTA